AAAAAAAAAAAAAAAAAAATCAAGGTGGGCAATACCATTTTGGGACAAGCCTCTGTTTAAATTATACACAGCTCAATGCAATATTCTTACGGAAAATATATAAATACTTTTTCTTTCTATGTTACAGGTATACAATATAAATCAGATTTCAATGTTCGTTCAGTGACCTACAAACACTAGAACCTCCAAATATGTAGCAGCGTATTACTAAATAAAAAAAGACCACGTGGGACAGGGAGAATAAGTCTTGGTTTTCTTCGATCCCCTCCCTCCTCAGAATGATTAATTTACACAATCTCTTGTAATGCAGTATTAGGGATTCTGACAGCCAATCTTGGAACAACTTTTCAATTACACCTACCAAATGTCTGCCTTTCTACCCTAAGACATTGCATCATCTTGTGCTAAAACAACCTATTCAGTGGCAAAATGGCATGTTACACTTTTTGGCATAAATTACATTTCTCAAATTAAATAGTGTATTTTACAAAGCAATTCAAGCAAAATGTGCAATTTCTGCATGCTGTGGCATTGCTATCCATCTATTTTACAAAAATAGCCCAAAGAAAATCCACATTCTTTACTGAACATACGAGTCTGTTGCAAACAAAAATGTACAGGGAACCCAAATTAGGGGTTAAACAAACAAAACAAAAACACCCAAAGAGGTGAGGGCTTCTAGCAAGATATAAACATGGTTGCTAGCATGTTCCCAAAGGTCGTATATAGTCTTCAGAATTTACTCTCACCTAGTATGCCTTTAATAAGCACATGGTAATAAAGCTGAACAAAATAACAATAATAGGGAGGACCTATTTTCACCTGCCTTGCAGAGAAGCACCAGCATTGGGGTCCCTGCACAGCCCTGCCAGAACCTGGCAGAAATTTTTCCTTTAAGATCCTCATCATGGGCTGACATTCTCTTCCCAAAAGAACAGGAGCTTCCTGAAGTCCAAAGGCCAAATACCACGATCAAAACATTGACTATGACGAAGCACCAGCTGTTTCATCTCTCACCAGGCTTTAATTACTACCTCCATCCTGAAATATTTCTAGATTAGTCTGCTCTCCTTTATGCACCCATGGGTGCTAGAGCTTTCTTAAGCTTCTCACTGCATATTACAATCGTCTCGTTCAGGACAACTGCACATGCTCCAGAGCAGAAGGAATTCAGAAGATGAAAGGTACTGGCATTGATGCCTGGCAAGTACTTTAAAGTGTTTGTAGAAGGTTGCTCACCTCAGTGTGCCAAGCCACCGTGCACTAAGCTACTGAAAACTACGCTGTTTTGGGGGAAAAAAAGGAAAATCAGCAATGGTATCTGTAGGTAGGTATTTCCAGTCACTTAAGAAGAGTCAAATAGGAAAGTGACTCTCTATTTCATGTATAACACACCAACGGGCTAACGCACACGGGCCCATCACGCTTCTCCAGCTCCAAGTGATGTCAATGAGAGTTTGCTGCATCTGACATCACTAAACTTCTGATGCTTGAAAAGTTCCATCTCTCCCAAAAAGGGCATTCAACCCATTCAGCTCTGTCCTCTTCTACCCTTGGTGAAGAGAAACAGGCTTGCAGGGAAATAATTCAGTGTCCAGTGTTTAGATTTCTGCCCAAAGCTGCCTTTGGTGGAGGCAATCCCTTTCCATTGACTATAAAAAAGGATATCAAAGAAATTACCCAGCTAATTTAGTAGACTATGTCCCGCTGGTTTCATAACCAGTATCTCTTTTCTCACAAGGGGTTTAACCTCAGACTTGTCTGAATATTTTCTGTGCTAGCAGGTTTAATCATTCAGTCTTTGCCACAGCGAACAAACTACACTTGCATATGGTAGAACTGAGCACCATATGCTTTACATCATTTATTCAACAGTATCACAAATTGTTAGGACTGGAAAAATGGATGGTCTACAAGCTTGCTACTCTTTCCAGGAAAAGTGGGAGGATTTTCTATTAATATATGCACACTTTATACAACTGTTTTCTTCTAAAATTTCATTATGAAGCAAAATAAAACCCTCAAATAACATTGAAAGGGATATTTTAAAAAAGAAATTGATAAAACTAGAAATTCACAGTTTATAACTAGGCCAATATCAAATTCCTTCCTTTACAATATCCCTTCATTTGTCAATTAAAGCAAAATATTAATGAGCTTAATGTAAATTAATTCTAGAAATGTCATATGTTATGTACAGCACGAACTTTACGTCCATTATGCATATTTGTTGAAATCTACTGACACATAGAAATCACTTTTAGAAAGAAAATCATGCTTTACAACTGAATTTGCAGCAATTATTTGTCAAGTTTTGTTGTCATGGATCCCCACAGAACTGAGTATTTCAGAATGTATATGCATTTCAGGATGGAGAAACCTTTTAAAGTACACTGACATCTCCTTTGCTTACCTTTCTAATAATCAGAGGCCTTCCTTCCTATTGCCTTTTCTACATTAAGTGCTATGGATTAACTGTTAACAATTAACATGGGTGCTGTTATTATTTTATTTATTTTTAATACTAATGATAATACTTGCTTATTTTGCTTTAACTGCAGAAAAATAACATGGAGTTGTTTGATGTAGCCCCTTCTAGTTATTAAAACAAATCTCATACTCTATCCTAACTGAGGTAGTGTTTGAAACTACTGTATAAGATCTGCCAGTCCCATTCTTGGGAACACTACATAATTTCCTTTGGAGTTTACACCACTATTTGGTCTACTGTGATTGACATTTTGGTTTTACAGAAGCATTTACTTCATATGACCAGAGAAGTCCAATAGTCATTGGTGGGTTTGTTTTCAAAGCATTTAAAATACATTTCAGCACATAAATGTATTACTTGTGTCACTGACCATAGAAGAGTTGACTGGTTTCTCTTTGCTCTTTCTTTCAGTGGGAACTCATGAAAAGATGACCTAGGAAACTAGACTGTGAGCAGCAACTTAGAGTACTGCTTTACCCGGCAGTATGCAGTGCATGTGAGAACTCAGTGATCTCTGCTAAGCAGTGCTTATGTGGCAAGATGAAATCTCCACTAAGAGCAAATAAACCCTATATTTCAGTACAAATCACGTTATATTTTTACTGGTTCACAGGCCTACTTATTGAAGTCTCCAGTAGCATAGCTAGTAAGATCAAGTTTATGAGTATTAGGATCAATTTCACTTATCTTTATCTAAGTATTATTCTGACAGTTATTAAAAATATGGTAAAAGTGAATGAATAAAAATACATTCTACCTAGTACAGTACAGTCCAGCTGAATTATTCACCTATATCAAAATCAAAAGGTAACCCTTTCTATTGCAGGCATTCTAACAAAGGTGGCCATGCTACTTATATATATATTTGCATATATTTATACTACCTTTTTATATGCTGCTTCAAAATTTGGTTCTTAAGGCTTTTCACTACAATTTTAGTACTATCTGATGCTTGATCACTTGCACATTGAAATTCAAGCAAACCTTAGTTTTTACAGAAGGTTGTTTCCATGGAGCATGGAAATTGCTTGTTTACTATGTCTTCTCACAGAGCAGCAATGATTAAATGTTTTCAAGTTTAGTTGATACAATATTCATTTATCTGATAAAAATCATGCTCATCAAAGGTTTTCAGTTAAGGATATGACCAGCATTCATACCATATGAGCATGAGTCAAAAAACTTCAAACACGTGCATATCAATCAGGGAAAACAATTTTGACTTCAGCATCTCAAGTTTAAATGATTTGTTTTTGAATCAAACTGTAGTGAAAATCCTTAACTGGTTCAGATAAAATACATATTTGTAAAGGCAATGAAACTGGAGATACTGCTAATAAAATGATTTACAACTATAGCAATATTAAAATAACTTAAAGAATGCCTTAGATTCACAAAGGCTTTTCTTGCTGTCTGAAGCTACAAATCCCCCAAATAGTGTTACAAACAGTATGAAAACGAACAGAGAAGGGCGAACATTAAACCCCTGGTGTCCACGCTTACAGCACGGCTGCCCACTGCTGCCAATGGAATGCACCCTCAGATAGTCCGATTCCCGGTATCCAGGGGTTAAAAAGCAAGGCATCGTTCTGCTTCTCTGGAACAGATTCAAAAGTCAGTCATAAAAGATGTCTCTGCACGTTGTCCTATTTTTTATTTATGTTAAAAAATGAAATGAAAATTTGTGGAGGTGTTCAGTGCTTGGCTCTTACATATACTGGTAATTATTATTATTAAAACTATGGTAATGTTTAATAACTCCCCAAAGGGCTCAAAAGACTGGGGCAGTAATTGGTTGAGGAAAAGAAAGGTTTTCAGTTCACTCTTCTGGTACCAGTAGCTTCTGGAACAGTCTAGAAGATGATGCTCCAAAGTAGTACATCCAGGCAACTGGAGGTTATTTGAGGATTTCAGTTAAGTCCATATATGATACACTGCCTGAGACAGAGGTCAGGATTCAGCTGATGCATCAATTACTGGTTGTTTTGTTGATGTTGCTAGAACAGCCTCTGCTTCTTCGTGCATCTAAAAGAAAAGTATGGATTTCCATTTTTTTTTTTTTTTCAGCGCTGCCTTTAGATATTTCTCTAGAAAGACATAAAATGGCTTCCTGCATGACATGCCAGGATGACATCTATTTAGAACATGAACCCTGCACCCAGTGGGCACACTTTGGTGCAACTTACTTGTAAAAACTGTACATCTTGAAATAGCTCCTGAATAAACCTTCGAGACGGTAGTCGAAATGTACAGTGTGCTAACAAGTAGGACACCTCGGAGTAAAGGCATATGTCATCAAATGCTTGGGGATACTTCTCCTTTATTCTGATCAACAGGAAACAAAAAGGTTTTAAAATCCCACACAGACAGATATATATCTTTAATTTTCAATGAAATTTTTGTACATTATTTTGTACTAAATTGCAGGAAATCTGTATTCACAAGACAAAACAAACTACCCACTTTGAAAGTTGCATATTGTATCTGAGAATACCAGCTTAAAATAATAGGTGTAAGAAGCAGAGGGAGTATCAAAAAAGTGGCAGCCAAGCATAGCATCAATATATAAGTAACAATGGCAAAGATAACTTCATACTTGTCAGCATTTTTAAACCAAGGATTCCTACATTTTAACTGTCACTTATCAGTTTCCAACAAGACCAGTCCAGAAGAACTTTTATCATCATATTTTATCCCTTGATTTGTATTTCTATATTTGTAACATGAGCTATTCTAAAATTCTATATTCTATAAATTAATTCTAACAGTTGTACTCCCGCTTAAATCAGAATGGTGTTCCTTAAGAAGCTACTTTGAGATTATTTTGTTTATCTGATACACTTTATCTGGCACAAACAGAAGAACTAACCGATTATTGCTTCTTTTGTAAAAATACATCACATATTAGAGAATTCTAATGATATGCGTGTACATGCAAAGCTATATTCACAGAGATATCCAAAGAAGCATCAGTATGATTAAGTTATGTTTTCAAAAAGAAAGGTAAAGAATAAGATATTAAAGACAAAGCAGGAATATTTAAAAGAAAATTCTTAAGATACTCTTTATCATAAGAAACTGCCTCTACTTGTTAATGCAAATATAGAACAGATGCCCCTAAGTGCACTTACATCTGCTGCAAAGTTTACTGCTGCACTAAAGTTAATAGTTGGCTTGTATGTTGTGCTCAACTACTCCAGTAACATACTATAAAATCTGCTTCACAATTTTTAAGAGTTGTTGGAAATAATGAAAGCCTCTATAAGATCATAAGGGAATGCAAACAACTGAATGGTGCTAAAATCGTAATTAAAAAAAATAATCTAACTTACGTCAGGAGTCCAGTTTCATGGCCCTTTGTTCCTACAGAACTGCTCAAGTTGATCACTAAACGTAAGACTTCTTTCCGCAGCAGTATCCTACACACTGGCGTATCATCTGGAATTGATTTTACTCCTTGAAAAACAAATTGAACAGTATGAGATTTAACCAGAATAGTCTTTGCACTACACTTACGTCAGATGAATGAGATTCAGGGCTTTAAATAAATCCATTTATACATGTACGTACGTGTGCATATATGTACGTATGATATATTCTTTCTTAAAATACCAGCAAATGTTCCCATCAAAAGTTAAAAATATATATATTTTAGTGAATTTTAACAGGTCATATTTTTAAAAGTTAGTGGTTATTAGGAAAGTTATATTAGTGGTACCAGAAAATATTTGGAAAAAAATGAAGTCACTGTAATATTGCATAACAGTGCTAAATGATACTATGAAATAATTTTTTTATAAGATACTGCTAAAATCAACAACGAGCTCCTTTATGAGAAATTATGATAGGTTCATCAGGTGTTGAACATAGGTTCAAACAGAAGAAATTGTCTTCTCTTTACAGAAATGCAAATTTCTTTTTATACTTTAAAGGTCGTTCATAAAAGACAAATTCAGCAACGTATTTTTTTTAACCTACCAATACTAGGAATAAAAGATAATTTTACTGTGATATATGATACAGGGTTCCCTAGGTTACATACAAAAATGTCATATAGCCTAGGGATTAGAGTATGAAAGTACATTCTCCCATCTGCACTTAAACACAGGCTTTCACTGATAATGATTAGGGCACCAATGGGTTTTATCGGTTTGCTCACAAGTAATGCACGTTAGTTTGTTGCAGGAAGCATAAATTTAATATTGTTTTTCCACAATATCTAAGAAAATACTTTCAGATATTCACAATTATGACTATGATAATCATTTTCATAAAGTAAACTTACCTAGGACAAGCTCTGTACTCTTGGTGCTGCTAGCTGAACCATGGGATACTGCATCGCTACAGCCTGAAATTCCAGAAAATTTGGAGGAATGCACATCCAAGTGATTGTGTATGGCCTGCCCACACCAGTCAGTATATGGAATGTCTGAAAAATCTGACAGAAACAAATGTTGCATCTTTGCTACTCATGCTTTTCCTCATTTCAAATGCCTATCCTACCTCTTATCATAGTTATGTCTGCAAGACACTGATACACTAAGCGTGGTAACTGCTGGCACACTGTTTTTTAGGCAAACCAGAAGGAAAAAGAGGAGAGAAAAGAGAAGACGCCCATGTTTCCTATCAAGATATTAAAAAAAAAAAAAAAAGAAAAAAAAGAAAAAGAAAGAAAAAAAGAAAGAAAAAAAATCAAGTACAAAGTAAATTTCCCTTCCCACAGAAAAGCAGATGCAGCTCCCATTTGGGTGATGAGCTGCTTCAAACAAAAGGTAGAAGAGCCTAAATGAACAAGAATTATGAAAGGCGCCAGGCTGCCAGAAAACTGAGCCCTGCCCTCATTTAACAGATGCGAGTGTGACAGTGTGTTACTAACTGAATGCATATCCCTGTAGTAAAATAGTGAGGATTCCTACTAGGCAGAAATCAGGATTTCCATTATTTTTATTATGGTCATTGTAAAAAGGATGTAACTGCAAGCTCTGCAGAGCAGGCTCCAAGGAAAATGACCAAACTATCTTTTATCATTCTATTTCAATCTCCGAATCTGAAGAAATATAGAAGACCAAATCCAGAAGTTACTGCACAACTTCAACAGACTTTTCAAGGAGCTTTATTTCCTTCTTGTTTTAAGGTATTGAAGTGACTTTTCCTTGGGCAGAAAGTTGGCCTCAAATTGTAGGGCATTGATTTATAAGAATTAATTAAGGTTTAAAATTTCACATTTTATACTTTAAAAATATTAAGAATAATAGTGAAAATAGAATATTAGTGAAAGTTAATTTCAAGGCAGTACAGTCAGTAAGAAGAAACTACAGATTAATCATCTTTAAAGATGAACATAATTCAAAATTTTTCTTCACTTGTGTCACACTTGCCCACAAGAGAACACTAACCTGCACGACTATATGAAGAGTTCACTTTGTTGTTAGGCTGATAACCCAAGATTTGAATGCAGACACAATAAAGACAGTTCTCATCTGTGTGCTCCTGCAGTCCAGTATCCTCTGTATTTTCTAGAAACTGAGAGGCATCTGAACGGCTTGTATTCATTATTTCTGTGAGACTGATCTGCTGTCGAAGCATCTGGAAAGGACTTTTGACAACATCACTTGTACCTGATTGTAGACCTGCAGATAAGCGATTAAATATCAGAAAAAAACAAAACTACACAACCATCAGCTAGTATAATATTAGTTGAATTAAAATTTCTCTTTTAATGACTGAGCCAAAAAAAGTCTAGATAAATTTTTTTGGAATCGTTAAGCTCCATTTTGTCAGCATTACGGAGGTAAACACAGCATTTTAGTCCTAAATGATGAACGTTTGCAATGTATACAATTAAACCTATAAGCACCCATAATATGTGGTAAAAATCTGACATTATTTCAACATTAGTAATAATCACGTAATATTATGCTATGAATTTTCACACTATCCAGCAAGATTATATATTCCAGATGTATATAAACGAGATGTGCACAAATGAAAACAAAAACACAAAATAAAACAAGAATATAGTGTTGGCACTTCACTGACATGCTCTTTCCTAAGAAAGAACAAACACAATTCTGAATACAAGTTACCCTACGCCAAAAATTACACACTATAGAAACACACCTTCAGGAAACTAACATTTATGTATTACATTAACAAATAACAACAACAAATCACTATGATGTGTCTATTTGGATGTTCCGTATGTTTGTGATAATGTTCCAGATGATTGACAAGCATGACAGCAACTATCCTGTACTACCCTAGAATCAGAATCAAGGCTTCTTTTTCAGCTGCCCTACTACAAACATACATATTGATGTCCTACATGCTTCTGACTACTCTGGAATAAAAAGGAAGTGCACTCCAGAACAAGCCAGGCATTACACAACACTTGCAATTCTCTTGTACCATGTTCCATTACTTCCGCTGATCTCAGCTGGCACAGAAACATCACAGAAAGACAAAATTTACTTTCTGAAATATACCTGACGTTTTTATTGGTACCTCTAAATCCATATGTAATCAAAGGGGAGTCAAAATGTAACAGTTGAGTATGTATTCAGCATTCTACTTTAATCTTAGTTTAAAATATGCTACTTTAATCCACTCTAATTTCCAGTGTTTGCTTAACAACAGCTTATATTATAATAAAAGATATGCAGACTTTCCTCCTTAGTTTATTAGAGGTGAATTGTGTTTACGTTGCTTTCAAGCAACATCCCATTGTCTTGAACTACACTGAACAAGGAGTTAATGGTCTGAAAGCCAGAACACACCAGCAAAAAATAGCATTCTTTAAAATAAAAAAACCCTATATATTACCCCAAGTCCCTAAATAACAAACATTTAAGTAAATATGGAAAGGTACAGAAAAGGAAAAAAAAAATACCTCCCGCATCAGGTGCAAAGACTCGAGCTCCATGGTCATCAAATGGAGGTGTGGTCTTTTTCTGGAAATACGGAGTTTCCTTTACCTGGAATGTTCAAATAAAAATTAAAATAAGCACAGATGATAATTGTATAGAAAGGAAAATCACTTTAATCAAGACAACTGCAGGAAGAGAGCTGTAATTAGAAGTGGAAGTCAAGGATGGATGGATTCCTAAATGCCAAAAAAAGCCAATCAGAACAAAGTACTTTTGTAAACAAGCACTTTCAAAGCAAGACTTATAAATACTCAGTAAATGGCAGTGGTGACAGGCTGTAAGGAAATTAGTGATCCAGAAATTCCTCTTCATGATCTGTCCCTGATCACTCCAGAACACTGGAGATGTCTCAGGACAGCAGATCAAAAACAAACAAGAGTCATCCCAGGAAAAAAAAAAAGGGGGGGTTGAGGAAGAAAACTGAGGAAACAGAAACAGGCCATGAAGACTGTGGAAGTGCAGCAAAAAAAGAGTAGCAATTGCATATAGGAGGAATAAAAGCAAGAATGACGGAAGATCTTGCCTTTGCTCTAGTTTGAGCAATTTTTGAGATAAGAAAGGAATTTAGGATTGAAAAACAAAGACTAAGTAAATCAAAGAGAGTAAAGACACTGATTTACTTTTGATATAGACAATGTCCTGTTTGTGATGGTTCATCCTTGTGACATGTCAGTGTCTACTTACTAAGTAGAGAGAGGAAGAGAATCGATAAGACACTGAGATAACCTACTTTAACTTATATGCATCTCTGATATTAAATAATGTAATGCAGAGTATAGTAAAATTATGTGCCTATTGTAGTATTATATCAAGAGAACACAGTAGCAGGATGAGTTTACTGTGGGATTATATATATTGTATGGTTGACTAGTGAACATATATACTTGTTGGCTAAACAGATATTTAGAAAAGTCCACAAACTATGCCAATTTTAGCATAAGAACTGTCAACAGGAACTCTATGACAGTATATTTATTTCACTAACATTTAACACTTCTCTAACCTGTTCTATTCCATTATTTGCCTAACAACACATATGGAGATGCCAACACAAAACAGAGTGCAGCTTTTCTGTAAACAGGGCTAGAGAAGTTCCTCCTGTTCTCCCAAATGCATTTAAATATCGCAACATATATTTCTTCTTTCTGCAATCTTACCTACTTGGAAAAAAATGCCACAGTTGGTCACTACTCAGAATGAAAGTTCAAATGCATTAAATTATTATATAAATACCTGAAATATTTCATTGATATCCACGGGGAGCGCAAGGCCAATGTAATCATCAGAGCTACCATATGTAGCATTAGAAACCATGGAGCGAACAGAAGAGGAACGCTGAAGTGTGTTTTGGTTAATAGGACTTAATAAGTCTTCTTTATCTAACGAAGCATAACTTAAAGCTTTCATGAACCTGCAACATGAAGAGAGGAAATCACAATCTTTGTCAATCATTCATTTTGGCATATTACAAATAAGAAGGACTGCTGACAAAGACTATCCTCATCCTCCCATTGTAAAACCCAGACTCTTTACTCTGTCAAAACTTGCTTCTCTGTCAAATTATAGCTATTTAGGCTCATTTCTTTCATTCTGTGCATTGTACTGCCTCATGCCATATTGCACGGTTTGGCAGTTCCTCAGTGAAAAATATCTTATGATCTTTTCTTTGAAAGTCCTGGGATGGGACTTTGATGAATAGTAGGATGGAACTTTTGCTTAAGGGGTAGCCTTCCCTGTAAAGAAAAAGAAAAAGATTTCACCAACTTACCAGTCTTTGAAAATTTACAAACCATGCACACCCCCCCACAATCAGGAAAGATTTAGACTTTTAAACTGCAACTGCCTTATTTTGAAATGTATTTTTTTTTCAGAATCGTTCAGCATTTTGCAACTGCAAAGTTTGGGTTTGCTGAGTATCAGAGATGGGAACAAGGAGCTTTTTATCCTGCACTCTAAAGCAGCCATGCAGGAACTTGAGCCTGCCCAGGCTGAGCAGAGCTGACTGGGACAAGCAGCCTGGAGGACTAGAGAGAAATTGATGGGGAAAATGAGACTGTCGAGAGAAGGAGCTACAGAACTTGGACACTGAAGTCCTCAGTGTTGACCACAGCCCTAATGACAGGAATGGGACCAACAGGGGCGCACGCAGGGCAGGGAGGAAGTAATGATAAAATCCAGGTAAGCTGAAAGTTAATGAATTAAAATTGAAACCAAGTTTGAGGGAAATGGGAAACTTCCTTGGCCACCTCTCATTTTCATTCTCAAAAATGAGAACCTGTGCATGTTAGGCTTCATGAATGGATGAGCTGTGTGGTGGATTAAAGCTTCGTACTCTGAGATGACCATGTGAAGAGTCAGTGTAACACAGGACAGATTTTTTCTTCCTTTTCATCATCATTATTCTTCAGGTTTGTTGAAAAATGAAAAAAAAAATCCACATATCTAGAAAACCACACTATGGGATATGTTGAAAGGACATTAACATTGAAAAGATAAAACAAAAAGTGCTAAAACACTAACTACACATCCTCAGCATAGTATTATCAAGCATTTAACTGCAAAGTCATACACTATTTTTACATCTGGCTTATGACCTTAGCACACATAGTACAGGACTACCCTGCACCGAAAGGGACTGCAAGACATGGCTAAGCAGTTGCCCACGGGAACATTGCTTTGCTTATGGTACAAGTGGAAAGCACATAACAAAACAAAACACTAACATAATTACTGGAAGAATAATGTTTAAGAAAAACTAATTTGCAGAGTTGATTTTATCTCCCCAAAAGCCACAAATTCAATATATTACTGTCAAATATATATATATAAGACAAAGATTAATTTATTAAATAAAAGATTTTACCAGGGGTCACTACTTTTCCCAATTTTTAGTTTGAGTTGCAAGCCAGCTGAATGATCCTAATTTATCACATCCTACTGTATGTGATGCATATCCCTCGTTTTCTATTATATTCTTTGCATATGGAAATGAAACTGATCTTTCAATATAGAAATGAACTATACCTATCCATTGCTTGTAAAATACTGGAGAATTAAAAATAAAGCTTACCCTGTGTAGACACACTAGTATTGACTGTAGTGCTTACATACTACAAAAGGAGACATATTCATTAGATGAGTTGTATTTAGTCTGCCCTTTATGTATTTATTTATTTTTAGAGAAAAGGTCTTGGTTTCAATATGCTTAAAGTCTAATAGTACTATTCCAAATTTTACAGACTACCAAGTAGAGATGCGGGCCATCAAATGCATAAAAACGGATCTGCTATATAATTATTTCTCTCAGATTACACTGTTCAGCTGGCTGGGCACTGCGCATACAGAAATAGTATGATTCCTGTTTTATACCTTGAGACTTTGAAAACTGGGACACATGGGGACTTTGAAACTGTCCACATGACCAGTTACACTTCATATTATCAGCTCACATGCAACCTAACTCAGCACCCAACACTGCTGTGACTGCCTTCCCAGGAGGAGGCAGACACTTTTTCCTGATATGGACTAGAAGCACTAACATGGTCAGAAACCACACCTTTATATAGGCTGTTTTATGTATAGAACAGGTATATAGGTTATATAGATTTCTGTATAGGTTAAGTTGTTTTAACCTTCTCAAATCACAGCTTAAAACATCACTGGAGCTGCAAGTACCCCAATCATTTCAGTTCAGCGTTAAGCAGGTCAGCTCAAACCCTTGCATCAAACCACTGATAAGCGAGATCATGAACAGCTAAGCCCTGGGAATACCCTTAGTATTACGTTGCATGAAAATCCACTGCACTAAGGCTGTTTTGCACATCAGGAACACGATCCCAAAGGATGGTACAACTCAATGACAGGCACAGCTTCATCTCTACGGCCATTTACGCCAAACCCATGCGCTAGCCTGGGACAAAGTAAGGAATGGTGCTTCCACTTTCCATCACCCAGGCGAGCGCAGTTTACCTGCTGAATCGTCCTTAATTAAATCAAGACACTCAGCCTGTTTCTAACTTAGCTAAACAAAATAAAAGATTGAAAAAAAAAACCACTATCTTTCATAACAGCTATTCAAAATGATATGAGAATGACATGAAAATAAGTCATTTTATAACAAAAGGAAAGAAAATTAGGACTAAATCCAGGTGTTTGGTTTTAGTACAGCAAGGAGGTGACTAACATACTTGTAACTTCTGCCCTTTCTCCCATGTGAGAAGTTCAGTCTTCTCACTGTCCTCTTAGTCTCCTAATATCTGCACTGCCTTCAGTGAAGTTAGCAGTCACCAGGCAGTGGCTGTCACTTTTAGCTGAAATTCGAAAAAATTCTTAGCAAAATGAGAACAAATTGGAGGATAATCTCTTACCGGCTTGGGGTTAGCCGAGAGTCCAGGCTGCCAGACTTCATGGTGATAGTGTCAGTAAACAGCACGTCCTTGGCTGGAGATGCTAGAGCTTCTGAATGGGACAGTGAGGGATGCATCCTCTGCTGTTGTAAGCGTTTTAGTGTAGCGTAGCCAAACGCATCTCGAGAACTTGTATAGCTAAAATTATAGTCAGCAAGAATTTTTATTGTAGCAAGAGAAGGAGCTTTAAGAGACTGGGCTCTTCGAGGAAGTGTATGAGAAGACCCTGGGGGTACCAGGGATACAGAATTTGATTTTGAGAGAGGCAGGTGGTTAGACTGTGGGGTTGAACAGTGACTCGGTTTAACTGTTTTTGTGCTAACCACAGTACTCAAACTCCCACAGTCAGTGTCTACATTTGTAGTGTCCACACCTACAGTCTCCCTAGAAGGGCTAGAGCTCATTGAGCTTATGCCACTTGTTGTGGTATCTGTATTAAAACTTAAGCTCCGGCTCTTGAAATGTGTTTGTGTAGAACCATCTCCTATTAGCCTTTCTCTGCTTGTGTTATCCCGGTGATTTTCGTTTCCAAGACCTTTTGGCAGCTTCAAGTCATTTTCTCCAATACTCGGGGTACTATCAGTGTCTTCTGTGTGTTTACTTCCAACAAAAGAAGTTTCTAATCGTAAAGTCTGGATTTTAGGAACTCTGAAAGCAGGGTTGAACTCCTCCCCAGGAGTAAAGTCGAGGCTACTGGAAGGTTCTGTTACAGTACGATTTCGCCTCAGGCCTGATTTACTGTCAGATGATGCCAGTTTTCCTCCTTTCGAATCACTGCTACTTCTGTACTTTTTATTAGGTAGAGTAAGTGAGTTTAAAATGCGATTTTTCACAAATCTGCTAGAAGAAAAAAATGGAAAGGGACTACGATCCTTGTCCTTTGAAGGTCCAGGTCTTTCATAAAATATTTGTTCTGCATCTTCAGTAATATCTAGGAAGAATGTACTAGTGGAAGTATTGCCAAAACGGTCATCCTCCATGATAAACATACCTGAAATTATATACAAAATCCTTGTTACTGAAATCAAACATTTCTTCAAAGGGTATGAACTAAGTTGCAGCAGGCTAAGTTATTCTAAGAAGTCAAAATTACAGAATATGAATTCTGTTGCATTTTTCAAGCCAACATTTTTCCTGCAGACTCAGTAAATTAAATGTGTTTAGGAATACTTGAGCTAAAGATTCCATTGTTTCAAAAACAAAGGCACAGTGGCTTATTGCAGTGCAGATGTCCATCAGCTGAGATAAAAACTAGTAATGCACTCCTTTAATGATACCTAAGTATTTATGAATATAAATTTCAAATGTCAATTGCAATATTAAAATACACTAAATACAAAAAAAAGTATTAAGAATACAAACATACTAATATGGTATACATATAATGTTGTTTAGATATTTGAGTACATAGAAGCAAATGTATCTTTATACTCAGGTATGGAGTTTTCGGTGGGGTATTACAGCAAGCTGCCCTGTGTTGACCTCAGAACTAGTCATTCAGCCTAACACTAAAAGCTCTGACCCTCGAAGTCAAATGCAAATTGTTCTGCTCTCTTTCATCACATCCTTCTTTCCTGCATTAGCGCCTCTAGACCATTTGCTTTAACCTCACCTTCCAAAATGTTGGTAAGAACATAAAAACACTTTTTTTTTTTTTTTTTACTTACTTGAAGGTGCAGATTCACTTTCACTATTATGCCTAGAACTAGTGGACTCAGAGTTCAAGCTGAGAGTGCTGGGTATAGAGGAAAGTTCATTGCAGAGCTGCTCCATGTCATCAGGGACCACTGGCCAAGGCTGTCTACGACTGTGCCTCACTGCATCCCAGTTATGATGTTTCAAAATGTCACATCCTTGTTTGGTTTTGGCAATTAAACCAAGCACGTAGACACAGGTGCTGTATTCAGTGTACATAGAGAAAAAGAGAGCAGCAATATAGCATCCATTTTAACTAAAATTATTTGTGCTAAAAGGAATAGTTTCAAAACAATTCAGTAGAAACTTCACAAAGTTGCCAAGCAGCTTTTTGTATGTAGCTGACCTTATTTTTTTTATTGGAAATCAATGGAAGCTTAAATAATACACTAAAATATCTGCAAACATATTGTTCAAAAATAAACTCTAATTCTTACAAAACCCAGATACATATAACTGAAACGTATTATTTTAAAGGACAAACATAAAAGTGGGAGCAGTATTAGGCAAAAGAATATCTACTTATGTTTTCTCTAAAAGATTTGAAAATAATAGTGAACAACGACAGAATAATAAATTGATTGCAAGAGGGATACGGATAGTATATACTTTGATTGCCTGAGAGAGAAAAAGGAAAGATATATATATATATATATATAAATAGCTTCCTTGCCCTACTGGCTGTATTTTTAACCTTTTTACATAATTCTAAAATTCTCTCAAAGTTTGTTATTGATGATCTTCAGTAACTAGTAAACCAATGACTTCAAAATAAGTGGTAACATTATATTCACATATCTTAAAGAAAGTCTATTTGAAAACCTACTGGAATACTTTCTGTAAGTTATGTTTAAAATCAAATACACTTACCCTCTAACGGAGAGAACCTCGCAATGCTGGGCAAGTGCCATTATATCAGGGATCACATTCTCCTCTTGAAGCAAGTTAAGACCCCAATTTGATGATCCAATGTTGCCCTGAAACAAAATAGTTTGTCAAATATGTTTACATTTGGTGTGACCTGCATCACTGCTGAACAAAAAGCCTTTCACTTTCACACATTCAAGCCACATCCTCTCAAAGCTATTAGAAATTTGAAATCTATCCTTTTACTATTTCCTAGTTGCCTATATCCAATAGAGGACTCAGGACACTATGTATAATACCTAGAACTGGTTACTGTTTACTACTACGTAGCCCTCAGCTTATCAGTCACACTGCAGCCTGCAGTAAGTCTCTTCTTGCAAAGGCATTTCATTACATGCTTACAATGACTTCCACTAACAATCAGCTTGACCAAATGCCAGTGACTATATAAAAAATATATATATACAAAAAAGAGGGAACAAAACTGGTACAAATTAATAGAATTTCATGTGAAAGTCCACCTAGGATACAGAGACAACTTGGAAAATGATATCCTCTTATGACAAATCCCTAAATAACTGTTCTAAGAAATTTTTAGTTATTCCAGTATCAGAAAGTCACAACAGAAGTGAAACAGCTGCAAGTTTGTAAATCTGACTATTACTCACCAAAGCCCAAAGAGCTGCTTTGAGCTGCTTAATTCCTTCCCACTTATCTAGCATTGGGGAACGAACAGTGTAACTGAGATCTGGAACAATACTCTAAAGGAGAAAAACAAAAAAAGCCCTTATTTCATAATGAAAAGCAGACTCCAATGAAGCATGTTCACCTGCAGTTTTACTAAGTATAAAGCACGCTTTTAAAGTATGAACCCTATAACAAAGAGTGATAGTTCTAGCATAATGAGGATAAATCATCAGCAATTGAAATTATGTTGAAAACCTTAACTACTGACTACATCAGGTTTAATTCATATTAAAAAGGAAAAAATGATTCATCAAATTAACTCAATACAATAAGAGTGCTCTCTTGAAATTCTCAAGTATATACAATTCAATATATCATTTTGTAAACTTAGTTTTAAAAAAAACTACTTTTTGTTAGTTTTTATAATGAACAGAAACTTTTTTGTCTAACCTCTCTACATTTTTTTTACATTTATAAAGAACAACCACATCTTGACAATACTCATTACAGAATTCATTTATATATATTTTAATATAGAATGAAAAATTATTTCTACTATTGAGTTGCTTGTCATTCTAATATTTTGCCACCCATTTTAAGAAAAACATTGCAAAGTATTTCTTTAATATTTCATTTTTAGAAAAGAATTTTACATGCAACTAGATGACAAAAGCCTGTCTTCACAATTTTTGTGAATATAATTTGATATTCATATAATATGAGACTTTCATAATTTATTCATTGCGCATTGACCATTTAAGTGATGATACCTTTTAAAATAAATTTATTTTAAAAGTATTTCAGTTCTCTAACTGCAAAAGGTATTAATAATCTGACCTGAGATTCCAATAAATGGCAGCCTGTTTTATGGTGCACCAGTTGGCCATAAAGGTGAATGGGCAGGTAGACATGTGGTCGCTGTAATCTGGTAGAAAGAAGTTATATGGTTTCATAGTAATCAAGAAATTTTCTTTTAAAATACATTACACTATGGTGTATTTACTCCGGGTTTTAAGAGAAAGAAAAATCTTTTGGTGAGCGTTTACCTTTGGTTGCTCCGACGAACGTAATTGTCACCATCAACAGGTTTGCGATATGTGGTAAGTGCTTCATTAAGTTGTTCTTCAATTAGTTCAACATACTTTAAATTATATTCCTAAAAGATGACAGACAGACTGATACAACACAGCTAAACAGCTCATAGTTTCTATAGTATGGTACTTTACAAGAAAAGAGTAAAACAAAGGGCTCCTTTATGAAGGCTCCGTTTTTTAATGCTCTGAAGTCAGACTCCTAATAATGATATTTTTCCATAGATTCTACAACTAATTCCATAATTAGCTCAGGATATTTGTCAGAGAGAGAGAGTGGAAATAAAGAAAACATCTCTCTCCTTTTTCTAACTTGAATAATCTTAACAGAATATCATACATTTCAGTATTCCTACATAAGTGTTAGCTTTTGTATAGCTTTTTCAAAGAATTGTCTAATAGTCAACAGGAATATACCACTACAATGGCATTCTTGCCTCAACAAAGCACACATATGATCAAATATAAACTAATATATTAATAGGCTTTCTTTAGCTATAAGCATGATACATTTTTCTTGGTGAGATTTGTTTTTCTATTTACTTTCTAACAGCACTGACTAGCTGAATTTTTATGATATAAAACAGGGGTGACAGCTGTCTTAAAAGCAGTAAACTTCCCTGCAGTATTTTGGATACAATTTTACATAACAAACTGTTCAGGAAATTCAGTAAGCCACTGCCATCTCTAGATTTTTGCTAGAATACCAAATTCAGTAAAAAGCCTGGTTAAATCAAAAGCATATATGTACAGAGAAGCTATGAAACAAAAGTTTGTGTTGGCCTTTTCAACAAAATCATAAATCACTGAAGCAGTAAATGTACTAGCATTAGCAGTAAATGTGTGAATGTACAGTATTTCTCACAGCCCTTGACCTCCTAAACCTTTGTATTCACATCCTTCCTGCTTTTAAATTTCAAGTGAATGTACACTTTATATTACCTTTTGCCATTTCTCCATTTGCTTTGTTACATAGCCTCTTTCATTTAAGTAGGAAAACCCCTTTGGAATGGACAGAAATCTGAAAAGTAACATTAGACAGTCAGTACTCTACTGAAAAATAATGTAATTTGAATTTTCTTACTGTTTTCCCAGATTAAAGTGAAACATTTACCTTAGGAGTAGAAGTAAACCTTTGTCTCCAAGATGAGAAAGCGCTGGTTTCATTTGGATGAGGGCATGAAGATTGGCCTAAAATAAAAATGCATATTGAACATCTGAACACAATATATCACAGAAAACTACAGCAGTAAAGTAACAAGTGTTTCATGAAGGAAATATCAAACAGTACTAAGTTTATTCTAATACTAGCAAATTTAGGCAGCTTTTGTCATTGAATTTGTATAACTTTACAAAAGAAAATATATTATCAAACAAATACTACCAGAAGTAGTATTTATAAGTAGTCATAACCTACATGTCTGCTCATTCTTATCATTAATATTGCAGTCTTTTTTAGCAAGCGGTGTGTATACTATGATGGAGGCCACCAATGATAAGAGAATCACAAAATAGTTGAGGTTGGAAGGTATCTCTGGACATCATCTAGCCCAACCCTCCTGCTCAAGCAGGGTCAGCTATAGCATGCTGCCCAGGAGATAAAGGAAGCAAACCATCAGCAGCTTACTGCACATCTCTACTTGGATATATCCATATATCTCTGCATCAACCTATCTATATAGTATCTACATATGTGGATAGATATAGATACACACACAAAATATAGATATATCTATCTAGATAGCTATACATACAAACTTATCTCCAACTCAGGTAAAACAAAAGACTTGGGGAGTTGATACCAAAACAAGTTGAAAAGGTAGATGGATGCTCACCTTGTCTTCACATGCCTCATCTAGAATATCAAGTGCCTCTGAAGAAATAGTTTTATTTTTATCATGTAACTGGGTCACCAGTAACTCAATCCCCCAGTTGCTGAAGAACTCTACGTTTGCTCTCAGTAATACTCGTAAGTGTTTCGTTGCATACAACCTGCAGCTCTGCAAGAATCAAGGGAAATGCTTGTCTGAATGGAAGAAAAATAGCTAATGCTATTGATTCAATCAAAAACACATTTTCAATCACACATTTTCATAGCACGTAACTGTGATACCCATTTCAGACATTAAAACTATAGTATATTATTTCTGTCTTACCAAATGGTGAATTTAAGTCTGAGATCACAAGCAACCTGGTCATTACAAGTCTCATCAGAAGCCTGTACCAGTTAGTCACTTACTGTGATGCTACTATACTGAAAGTCAGCAGCATATGGAGGGAAAATGCCTTGTAAAGAGCCAGGAAAACTTCAAATACTTGGTATGGAATGGTTTGAAAAACACTTTGAATAACCAGCAAACATCAAAATAAATTCCCCCAAGTTCTAAAGCAAGTTTCCTACAGATAATTATGAAATGATGAACTAAGAGAAAATAAATAAATAAATCAAACCTTACAAGCTTACAAACACAAAAGGCTCCAAGCCAGTTCTTTCAGCCCACAAATAAGACCTTATAGGTAATATCAGTTAGCTCTGTAGAACCTCCGATGTGGGGCTGCAAAAACACTACTTTTCAACCTACTCCAAGTCTTCAAACAAGACCACAGCCTCCATGGAATAAGAACACTTGAATGTATTTCCCAAACCAGAGGGGCAAAATCCAGCACTGGGTCTCCATCTGAAGTGACATTTTGAAATAATTTTATATTTGAGAAGAAATGAAAGGAAAACCAGTGAAGAAGATATCTGAGGAAACAGACATCCCCGCCCTCCAAGTGCAGGCTACATACAAGTTGAAGATAATTTCCTGTACCAGCCAACTGCCAGGGGTTCCTCATGTTTACTGCTAAAGGCCCCAACGTGTGATGATATAGGAAGCCATACGTCAGCAAGGTACATTCACCTAATTATATACGGCTCAGCATTGGGGCCACAAGACACAGGATGCGTCTACCACCTTAAACCCTCACGGGTGGCTAAGAGAAAATGTTAGGCTATATGATCTGCAGCAGTTAAGACCTGCTGCCTATTCTGCTATTTCCACCATGAAGTGGCAGAAGGCAGCTGAGCAGCACTCATTTCCTTCAGCACGAGTCTCCAGAGCACATACGAAGGCCTGCTGAGGTGCTCACCGAATCTTCACTGCTCAAGGGTGCTGCTCTGTAAACGTTTTACTGCATTCAGCCAGCCCAAAATCCACTCTCTCCTTCTAGTGCTACAGTGACTAGAGAAGTGGCTTTTCTCATTACTCTTGAGATGCTCATTAACAGAGAACAAACCTAAACAACAGCTCTGAGAAGCTGTGTTTGAGGTCATAATCATGGTTAAACCTAAAATATGAGCAACTTCAGCTCTTCAAATGAACTAGAACTAGTAATAAGATATTTCATTGAAAAAATCAGGAAAAAAATCAGGAAATTAGAATTTTTGATGGGAAGAACCCTTTCAGGAAATTACCTTTTTTCCTACAAACAAAACTTCTTAGAAGTTAAGTCTTTTGTTGCTGTTATAAACTAATACAACTCCTTCCATAGTCTATTCTACTTGTGCTTTCCTTTTTAAGATCAAAAATACAAGGTATTTCCTTATGAACGCTAAGAATCACAAGGAGGTTAACTGGTTCAGGATGCAAAACGCCTGTTTTATCTACCCCACATTCTCAAGAGATACCGTGGAGGAAGTCAAGCAGTGTCTTTTCCTTGCTTTCCACTATTCTGATATAAAAGATTCCTATACATTTCTGATAAACAAAGAAGCTTTTAAAAATATACATATTTCTTAAATTTATTATCATAAATCTCTTTTTCAATATTGATAGGATTCTCATGGTACTGAAGGCTACAGAATCAGAGCACAATCTCATCCACTGCAACTAGATGCTATATCAAAATCTAGGCTGGTAAGATTTAAGTCACAACACACCTCAGTCGTGAATTTGTCTAGAGATCCCTTGACTTGCAACCAGTGCCAATGCTAAGGACTGCTGACCCAAACCAGGGCATGTAAAAGACAAGTTACTTTCACTCAGGGAATCAGTCAGTGTTAGTGCTTGAGAAGATATATCTTAATTATTTCTATCTTTGGTATTTCAAAACACTGCCAAAAATAACCACTTTATATAATCTCTGATGCTCTTCTAGGCACTATTGCTAGATCCATATTATCAATGTGAGACTGGAAAGTGAAACTGTAACATAGATTGAGACCTTAAAACATCAGGGACATGATAAGTTATCAATGTCTGACAGGAGGCATCTCTTCCTTTTAAGACAATTATTTAAAGATAATGAATCTTTATAATCTCATAATATTAATCTCATAATATAAAGATAATTATTTAAACTGCAAAATTTAAGTCTTTAAGCTCCTGAATGTGTAGAATGTGTCTCAGTTTTTTCGATGGTGTTCACCTGTTCAAATTTAATAGACCTCAGTGGTATTACCTCCAGCATTCAGTGCCAAATTTTATCTGTGATCCTTCTCAGGATGCCCAACTGTCTGGAATGGAATCAGGTAAACCTGGGGGCTCTACAAGGGTGCTAAAGAGCAAAGTCTATCCCATTTGTATCCAAAAGACAAGAAATGTTCGCTATGCATTGCTCATAGCGTTGAGCTGCACACAGCTGTACTTGAGGTTCCGAAGAAATCATTACAACATGCCTGCAGTTATTTTTAATTGCTCAGTGGTTGCACTCGGAAGCAACTGAAATGCTGGCATACTGTTCCCCCTTGTGTAGCCTCTTTTATGAGAGGGAAAATTGCTGGTGGGTGTGTGTGGGGGTGGTATCTATTGACACAAAGTCTCAGTGGAAACAGCTAAATGAAGTTCCACTGTCTAAACTGGTCTTAATTGGCCATCATCTCACAGAAGCTTTGAAGTCTAATAAAGACACAGACATGTGTCCTCACAACCTGTTATTTTCCACTTGCCTGCTCAGACTAGGCATAACACACCTATGGAGAAAGAACGCCAAAGTCATCATTTCATTAAAAAAACTACTTAGGAAAGTAGTTAGTAGAGATTTTTACCTTCTTCTTTCATAGAATGCTTAAGGTTGAAAAGGACCTCTAGAGGTCATCTAGTCCTGCACACGCCTGGGGTCACCCAGAGCACGTGGCACAGGACTGCATCCAAGCGGGTTTTGAAGATCTCCAGAGAAGGAGACTCCACAACCTCTCTGGGCAGCCTGTTCCAGTGCTCCATCATCCTCACTGTTAAAAAAAAAATTTCCTTAAGTTCCTGTAGAACTTTTAGTGTTTCAGTTTGTGGTCATTACCTCTAATTCTGTTGGTGGCCACCACTGAAAAGAGGCCAGCCCCATTCTCTACACTCCCTCCCTTAAGGTATTTATATGCACTGACCAGATCTCCTCTCAGCCTTTTCACCACTAGCTACAGGCCTCCAACAAGACTCTGCACCGCTGATCACCACCCTCTGGGCTCTGCCATCCAGACAGTTGTTAATCCACTTCAGTGTCCACTCATCTAACCCACACTTCCGGAAGTCAAGAGTCAAAAGTCTTGCTGAAATCCAGATATATGACATTCACCACTCTTCCCTCACCTACCCAGCCTGTCATTCCATCACAGAAGGCTATCAGGTTAGTCAAGCATGATTTCCCCTTGGTGAATCCATGCTGACGACTCCTGAGCACCTTCTTATCCCTCCACATGTTTGGAGACAACAGCCAGGAGGAACTGCTCCATGACTTTTCCAGGGATGGAGGTGAGACTGACTGGCCTGTAGTTGCCTGGGTCCTCCTTCTTGCCATTTTTGAAGACTGGTGTGACATTGACTTTCTTCCAGTCTTCTGGCACCTCCCCTGTTCTCCAGGACCTTTTGAAGATGATGGAGAGTGGCTTAGCTATGACATCTGCCAGCTCCCACAGCACTCTGGGGTGCATCCCATCAGGGTCCATGGATCTGTGGATGTCAAATTTCCCTAGGTGCTCTCTGACCCAATCTTCCCCTAACCAGGGCAGGTCTTCCTCTCTCTGGGGACCTTCTCTTGTCCCTAGTGCCTGGGACTCTAAAGGGCTGCCCTTGGTAAACACAGAAGTGAAGAAGTCATAAAGTAACTCTGCTTTTTCTGTGTCTTTTGTAACCAGGGCACCCACGCTGTTCACCAGTGGACCCACATTTTGCCTAATCTTCCTTTTACCACTGATATATTTGAAAAAGATCTTCTTATTATTTTTAAACATTCCTTGCCAGATTTAATTCCAATTGTGCCTTGGCTTTTCTTGTCACATCCCTGCATTCCCTGACAACATTCCTCCCAATGAGCATGTCCTTTTTTCTACTTTCTGTATAGTGCCTTTTTCTGCTTGAGCATTGCCACAAGCTCCCTGATCATCCATGCAGGTCTCCTGCCCCCTCTGCCTGACTTCTTACACACAGGGATGCACTGTTACTGGGTGTGGAGGAAGGGCTGCTTGAAAACTAACCAGCTCTCTTGGGCCCCCCTTCCTTCTAGAGCTCTAGCCCATTGGATTCTTCCAAGGAGGTCTCTAAAGAGGCTAAAGTTGGCCCTCCTGAAGTCCATGGTTGCAAGGCTACTTACAGCCCTGCTTCCTCCTCGTTGGATCCTGAACTCCACCAACTCATGGTCATAATATCATATATGACATGATATCATAAATAATCAAAAACATTTCAGTACTCCTGCTACAAATTAGCATAAGAAAGTAAGAACAGAGATGATGGTAATGGAGGGCAGGAAAGCGCAGTTTGAAGTGCATTTGAACTTCAACTGGGTTTGTCAACAAATAAACCACAGTATATTGTTCTGCCTTAAAATTTCACAAATATTCTGGTCACAAGCTGAGCAAGTATAAGGAACAGCTTATCCTTCCTTGAAAGAAAGAGCTAAACAATATATTCCATAATAAATAAAGTGATAATATTTATAACTTTACAATTATTAAACATTATAAATTAGATTATTAGGAAATATGTTTATGAAGGAAAAGAAAATAAGTAACTAATTAGGAAAAAAAAGAATGGAGAGGTGGTAGAGTTCTCCCACATTAGCCTGCCCTCTAATCCTTACCCATAAACTCTCAATTTGCTCATCATCCACCCACAGGTTGAGCTCCATGCATTCCAGTTGCTCTCTAAACAAAGTGCAACTGCACCACTTCGCCTTACCATCCTGTTCTTCCTAAAAAGCACACAGATGCTCACTTTCAGTGAGCCATTCCTTTACATCAACTGTTTTCATTACTTTCAGACCCTTTACCCTCTTGCATTCACTCTAGCATAAATTTCTGTCTTGTCCAGTGGACAGAATAGCGCTCCCCTCTTAACTAGAAAATTCCTTTTCCTAGCTAAGATTGCAACTTATTTAATTCTCATTTATCCGACATCAATGCTTGCTTGTCCACCATGTAATACTGGAATGATTTATCTTCTCTTTAAGGTTTAGTAGCTTTCCTTCCTGATACTTTGTGTATTATCCACACCCACCACCTTTGATTTGGAAGCACCAAACCCAGCCTCTACTTCAGAGCCCTCTGCCATTCTAGGAACTATAGCGTCTCCAAAGTTCTGCACAGCCATCTCCATCATTATTAAAGGAATATCTATCACTATAAGTTATACTAACATCAGAAATCCACATTTCTTCTTGTGAAAACAATGCCTTCAGTATTGATTTAGGATGTGCACTGATCTGGACAGTAACATTATCTTTGTTTACATTTGGTGTATGCATTTACATTTCATGCATTCATTTTAAGATTTTAACCACTCTCATATATGGGAGAAACTTTTTGAAATGAATTCATATCTTGACCATAAAAACACTACAAGGAGTGAAGTCCATAGAAAGCTCTAAAGTCGCATGAATAGGAGTTACATTTCTGAAAAAAAAAAAAAAAAAAAAAAAAAGAAGAGCTTGGCTATGGATAGGAAAAAAGCATTATCTGCAACATAGATCTTGCTGCCTCAAAAGCATAGACCCAACCAGCCAAGCTGCGTATTCTGCATAGGTTAGCTACCCATATATATACACCATAACCTCATATAACATAGCAGGAGTTTGCCTCCCTCATCCTTCTCCTCAGCTGGGTTATATATATGGCCTGCGCTGAGCTCAGTGCTTGTCATAGTTTCACAGTTACAGAGAAATCTTGCAGCACCCATGATGGTGACATATCCCAGGCCCTGCAAGCAGCAGGCCTCAGGCCAGTGTTTTTCATCTCAGGGTTTCCTATTACTTGCCTAGCTGGATCCTGCTCAGAGCACTGCCTTTGATGCATCTCCTCCTTGCACGTCTGCCCACAGCGTGCAACAGGGTGGCATTCGGTTACCTCTCAGCCAGTGTAAACTGTGCAGCTCTCCAGTCAGAAGCTGTATAAATGCGCTGTGCTGTGGTGGGTAATCATCTTTGGGGATCTCTCCTTCTGGCATTGCATGGAAACACCAGCTTGACAGCAATTCCCTCTATGACAGAGCACCTGGGGGTGGGGCTTGCTGCTGTAATGACCGAAGAGTCACTGCCCACTGCCTCTTGGCCTCTTGGCATCTTCCAGCCTAGCGGTTGTGACAGTGCAGTTGTTCCCATGTGTAGAAACCAAAGTAAGTATTAGAAAAATCTCTATCCCTCGTTTACTGCTAATTTAACCTCGAGCATTTCAGGGATCTCGCTCAAACCACAGCTTGCCAAACACTCACTCCACTGACGGGGAAAGTGAAATCAGGGTGAAAATAAGCATAAGTGGTGCTGCCGGAGAGAGCATACACTGAAGCAGATGCTAAAGGTATTAAAAAAAAAAATACTTAGGCCTAGTTTTTAAGTTAGCCTGAAGTGTGAACTAATGTCATTATAATGCCTAGACACTGCAAAAAACAAGGTTTTAGGAGCAAAAGCCCAGGAGTCTCCTGGTTAAATGTAGGCTTTTAATCAATTTTTCAGTTAAATGTAGCTCAGACATCCTAGCAGTGAGAACACGGCTCCTGTGAGCCCCCTAATACGGCACTGCCTCTTCATTCTGCACCAAGCATTTGACTCCTGTGCTGTTGCAAGCACCAGTGCAGCTGTATGCTGAAATAGGTTGAGGAAATACTAGGTTTACTCCTAAGTTCAGATATTATTTACTTCCTAAGGAAAGGGCATGTTTTGGCCTCCATTTCCCTCTTCCTCAGTTTGTTCAATAACCCATTATTTTGAAGACTACGTTCAGGTTTCATTCCTGATGATGAATTGAGCCAATGCACAATATCTTTAACCAACTCCTCCAGGTAACTTTGTCCATCCTATCAAAAGGAAGAGCAACAGTATTTACTAATAGCAGAACTGCCCCCCTCTTCTTTACTGAAATGCATTCTTGTAAATTAAAACATACAAAAGCAATAAAGATGCAAAATAGAAGTGCTGGCTGACAAACAGTATTTAAAATAACGAAAAGGGCTCAAGACAAATAAAATGAGTTTAGCTCGCAGACATTTGAGGACTCATTCTATTCTTTCCAAGAAAGGGATCATTTAATGACATTCTTCTCTTGCCCTGTGGCCTGAGGCATAAAAATCTTAATATGGCAGAAGAAAGGAGTTAGAGAAAGGAAAGAGCAGAGCAAAAATAAATTATACTTAATATAACTGTACTTATTATAAAATCCCTACTTAAACATGGTGGTAAACAGTCTCTCACCTAGATGCTTCAGCATTTTAAGTTCTATTTCATAATTATGCTGATCATTTTAAGATTAACACCTGAAGTTTTACTAATGAAGTCTCTATTAAAATTAAGATTTTTTCTCTAAGTGGCTTGCAGCAGTATTACTAGTTCTATCTCCAGTCTTGCAGCTGAAAATTTCTCACCTCTTCTGATTCAAGAAGAAACTCAGTAAACTGACAACCCACCACGGTGAGTTGCTTAGCCTTAGCATAGTCCAGATCCAGGTTGGCATAAAGTTTACTGCTAGGCTTGTAAAAATACAGCAGCCTCCTTACAAACCTATGGAAAGTAGAAGAGAAGTTGTTATTTTTCACTTTCAGTTTCAATGAATCCCTAACAGTAGAAAATGATACAGGTATAAAACATGTTTTATCAGTAAATTAGCTCACTGTTAATAATTTTCAGTTATTAAGGAGAGCAGCAGGTATCAGCAGTAAGTCCTTCCATAGAGGATTTCAGAAACGCAGCTGTACTGTGTGTGGCACAAAGGCTTTCCTAGGCCATGATTTGAAACAAGCAAAAAGAACTCAAAATCTCTATGCTCTTAGAAGCCTTCTCATTCCTTCTCATTCTTATGCTTTTAATTCATTTTGTTCATCCTGTGATGAGTTTCCAAGACTATCTATTCTTTTTAAGCCTAAACTATAAAGAAAAACCTAAGCAGTTCAACAATGGGGTAATCGCAAAGCAGACTCTCATTCATGCTTCCTAATACCACATTAAGCAATATGGGTTGAATTTTGTCCCAGAGAAATAAATCTTCAGGAAAGGACTTTCCCCTCCCCACCTAGTTCTTCACCCAAAAAAATAAACAAACATTTGCTTAAAAAAACACTAAATCTATCTGAAGGTTAAAGTAATAGGAAAGATTAACTAAAGCACTGCTTTAGTTGGAAAAAGTGTTATCACTCTTCAAGTCCAAACACAGGACTGATTACAAAAAAAATTTGTGGAGGTTAGGTTGGATATTGTGAAATTGATTTGTGAATTTGATTCTGAGTTACTACTAAATACATGAATTACATATGTAGCATACTTATATTTGTATGGGTATGCATATATGTATATATGCCTAAGTGTGTATTTATAGTGACACACACACAGACCCACACACGTGCACGTACCCCCATAACTGCATCTCAAAAATTACAGAAGGCTAGGAATAACTACAGCTCTCCTTTGAGCTAATCAGTATTAAAACCTACACTAAAAATATCTAGAAACAGACATAAGATCATAAACTAACAGTAAAAATAACTTATAAAAACATAAAACAAGACATACCTTTTACATTTTTTAAAAAATACAAAACATCTAAAAAAACTATTGTGGTCAGAGATAATTGGGGTTTCATTTGTCATAATTAAACAAGGATTTCACAGCGATTAAAGCACACAGGCTGCAAGCTGCAGAAATGACCAATTAACTGCCTAAGTCATATACTGACCAAGTCCTAGGTTTTTCAGATTTATCTGGCATTAAATCACGTAGCCACTGAATGCCACTTGCACACAAAACACAGAAACAGCATGTGTGCGTCTAAGTGTCTGCACACACATGGATCATGGCCAGGTTTGCAGACATTCCTTTACAGAAGCAATGTTGTTAACTACAGGATCTGGAAAATAATCCTTTACCACATGGATTAGCAGTTAATGATCAGATAAGGGGGAAAAAAAAACAGGCAAAAAATGCAAAATTAAATTATGACTATGATTACAATGGGACTACCACTTATGCTGGAGCACTATATAAAATTAGCCTGATAACTTCTTATAAAAATTTAAGATGAAGCAGCATAGAGCCTTTCAGGATATATTTTAGCTTTAGGTTTTTCCTTAAAAATTCACAGAGAAATATCTTTCCATGCCTACAATTAAAGAAATACTCTTCAAAACAAGTTCCTGAAATGCATGCTAAGTATCACATCCAAGAACTAATTATCACATATGCACAAAGATTATTAAGAGTGCTATAATATTAAGAGATATGAAAAGAACCAAAGCTGGCTTTTGTTTGCTTTTCCAAAACACTTGTGCTTTCCTTACCATTAACAGAAACTAGAAATACCTGTTTTTTTTTTTTCTTTAAATTGAGGCTCTAACTGTATAACTTTACAAATATAAACATGTTCTGCTTGCATTTTCCAAGTGTTAATACAAAACACTAGTATATGAAATATTGAAGACTAATACTGCAAAAATTTTAAAACGAAATAGATATTTTGCAAAGTTGACATGATTCCTGTTTAGGGAACAGATGCACAGAGTGCACAGAAGAAAAAACAAACAATCAAAAAAACACCAACAATATCAAAACCTCACAATAAATCTTAAACCTTTTTATTTAAAGCAAGTTTTGCAGCCTAATTGTTTAAAATTTTGCTTTTAATGCTTATCTATATATTAAGTTTTAGAAATGTGACATATCCAAGGAATAGTTTATTGCAATACACAGTTGTTCCAAATTTCTTTCTTCAAAGGATGTCTATGTAATTTGACATACCTGTGCAATTGTTCATCTTTATAGTTCCTTAGATTTACATTTGGCCACTAGAAAAACAGCAAATATAGCATTATATGAAACTTGTACAGCAGGCCTTGATTAGTCACTAATATTTACTCATTTCTATCATAGTCAAGTTCATTTAATAATTATATGTTTTCTTGCCTTTAATATAATCTATTAAAAAAAAATACACAACTTATTTTACTGAAAAGCCCATACTCTTCTTGCTCCAAGGACTGCTTTACTTTTTCCAGAGAAGGAGAACAAGTGCTGGCTCCGTGCTACACGTACATGACCACAATTCTAATATAAATACCAAACTATGACATACTAATGAAAAAGAAATAATTATGCTTAGTATCTCCTTTGCAAATACAAAACAATTTTTAATACTCATGTAAAAAGGAAACTTTTGTTTGTTTTAACTATTAATCAGATGAGTTCTGAAATAGCCATTATTCTATTACAGTTCACTTAAATATTCCTTATTAAAGTGGTATTTAAAGTCCTCTTGACACTTTAAAAACTGTTTCAAATAAGACCAAATTAAGCTGTGCCAGATGTTTCTGGACCTTTCCTTTCTCCGTACTAAGTTTTCTGTTTTCACAGCTGTTATCTATGACTTTTTGTTTTTGTTGCTACTAGTATCTTCTTTGAAAGAGTAGAAAAGAGTGCATCAAATACACTGTTTTTTCCTATCTAAGAAATTCAGTTCCACATTGCAAATTGGTATACAAATATTCTAAAGACAGGTAGTGCAACAGTTAATGATCAGTAAAGCTGACCAGACTGATAACATTGATTCCATGGGTGTCAGAATAAATATAAACTGTCTACAACTGCTGACAGACAAAGTAAATCCTTCCATCCTGACAACTGCTAACTTTGCTGCTTTTGTTGCAGCTTAGACAGCAAGACGAGCAAGTTAAAAAGGCTGTAAGAGACCAAATGAAACATAAAATAGTGAGGTGGTAGGAAAGCTGGTGTTCAATGGCCATAAAGTTTTGACTGAGTGAGGAGAAGATATGTTGCCACATGAGATAATGAAACCCAAACATCAGAAACTGGATCCGGCTCAGTCTGGGGCTAAAGATGGACCACTCTGATAAACTGCACAACACCAGCATGCACTGAGATAATGTTAACAGGAAGGGAAGTGGTTAGACTTTAACCAGAAAGCACAATAACTTCTCATTCTGAAAGACGGAAGTCTCATTTTGAGACATTTAAAATTGTTTGATAGGTCACTAGAAAACTTACTGCAGGAATGTTTTAGATATCAGGGTAACTGATGGCTTGACTGAGAAGCTCTTCTGTTTCTAAATTTCATAAAAGGGGGAAAAAAATCCTTTGACAAAGGGTTACACAGATTAGCTGTGAGATTGTGAGAAATAGTTTCTTGAAAATGAATCATATATATTTCTGCTTTTGATCCCGCATTAAATTAACGTAAATATAGTAATAGTGACAAAAGCCTGCAAACAAGAGAAATTTGTCAGGGCAAGAAATTACTGTCATAGACCTACTTAGTCCTTCATATTAGACAAATTCTTGTTTTCTCATTTCATGTTTTTTTTAATATAATCTTGATATGTCTGTCACTTGATCATATATATCTGTTACCAGTAATCCTTTCTGTACTCTATCATATTTACAAAAATATAGCTTATAATAAGTAAAGTTTGTTCGTGAACATCAATAGGAGGGCAGTTTTGATGCATAGAAAACAGGAGTTCAGACGATGGCTAAGATTATTCCAACTACTAACTGGTAAGAAAGTCTGTTGCTTAAAAAAGACAAAATCCTCTAAAAGTAATGCAATGAACAGGTTGATGCCTTACTAACATATTACGTATAACATATTATGCAAACTTAAAATCATTGTATCACTTCATAAAGTGTATGTCTATGTATGCAAAATGTTATATAAAGCTTAATGTAAGCTTATTAAGGAATCTGATAGTTTAACTACTGTATTATTGTATGTAATTTAGAGGCTGCATATGAAAAAGTGTACCAGCATTGATTAAACACATGACATCACAATTTTCTGAAATAAAACAGATTATCGTGTATAGCACTATATTATTAAGACAAAGCTCACATGTGAAATGAATACCATCATTTTTTAAAGAGCACTTTCTTTGCTCACCTTCAGTATGGTCCCTATCAGATTCCAATTCCACTCAAGATTTTCTTTATGATTAAGAACCTGGCTGTCTCGAAGATTCATTACAAGGGCTTCTTCTGTATCCTGTAATATACACATGAAAAACTACAGTAAGTTTCCTTGCATCATTTTTCAGTACTGTCATTGGATATACTATTCATGTAACGTTCACTGAAGGGCCTTTTGTGTTTGAGAGTACAATGCACGATTACGGTACTGCTACTAGAATCTAACAGTAAGAGATCATTAATGGCCCCAGAAACCAGTAAAAATATTGTAATTTCATTTTATAAGTTCTATAAAGTGCAATCCACATATACCCCAACGACTAGCTAGAGGTCAAATTAATTGTAGCTAGAGGTCAAATTAAATGAAAAAAATGACTGTAGATTAAAGAAAGCAAAGCTGAGAAGGGAAAAAGAAAATCTCCCAAATACAAACTAGACTTTGGAAAACAAGTAATGGTAATACCTTTAAAATAAAGATGTCTTTCTGTACACGATATTGATCTCTTTTTTGGTGGGTTGAAATTGCTTTCTGAATAATATGGTCTAAATGGAGACTGTAAGGTTTAGGTCCTCTCTTCTTCATCTCATGGAAGCGTTTTAAGCAGTTGAGTGCAGCACTCGCTCGTCTAACAGAAAAATATAATCAGTAATGCATGACTGTTACACAAATAAATAACATCTTTGCTAAATCTTGAGTTTAACAGGCATAGCCCAAGTAAGAATCAACTAAGAAGAAGCAATTATGAAAAAAAGCCAAACTTTTAGGTTTTGATGTACTTTTGATGCACCTATACCACTCAGTCTTATACAGTAACTATAAGCATACAGTATACAGTAAGCACAGAAAGTAAATTCTCTTTTCTAGATGGTAGTGGGGGTATCAATATTATATTTTCTGCTCTTTAAATCCAAGCATCTGAGGGACAACACAAGAAAGGGACACTCAAGACAGGAAGTGATAAAAAAGACATCAGACAATGTCAGAATCAGCTACTCACAAAACAGTGCTAGCAGAAAAAAAAGCATGATCCAAAAACTACCACTGAAAATTCTCTTCTGGATTTCTGAATTTCAGAATCATTACTAAATCATGCAAATATCATGCATTTTTTGAATCATGCACTGGAAAGGGCATTTCTTTAATAAAGGTCAAAGAGCATTTCCATATGCATTCCCACTGCAATAAAGACAGCAGTGGTTTCACCAACCAACAAACAGGTAATGCAGGTTTGTGCGCAGTTGTGGTAAATACACGTCTTGGGGCGGGAGAAGGAGGCATATGTATTTTAATCTCGAAGTATAATTTAGCATTCTCACAGTCTTTTCTCTTTCACGATGTCAAAAGATGCTGCCATGTTCATTAGCGTTGGTAAGCAGTGCAGGTGATGGCTGTGGGAATGAGGAAGGATTGTGTTTGCCTAAAAAAAACCAAACAAATCAAAAAAGTAGAGTAACTTATCACAACATTTTCAGCCATCTGTAAGAATCATTTGAAGTGTCTATACATCTCACAAAACTTTCAAAAATGCATAACATCAAAATTGCTTTTTGTAAAATATGACAGCGATGATCAAACACGAGATCTTTAACTTCTCAAATTCATCAGTCTAAAATACAGTAGAAACTAATTTAAGAATCTTAGGACACAGACTTGGCATGAGAGCATTCTAATTCATGCCCAGGCTGATATTAGTTAAAGTGACAGTATGGAATAACATACAATCATAATGGTTGGAAAAGACCTTTAAGATCATCAAGTCTAACTGTTATCCCATCACCACCATGCCTACTGAATCACTGCCCCAAGTGCCTCATCTACACATTTCTTGAACACTGCCAAGCAAAGCATTATTAAATAAACAAAACAAATACAGAAGTAGTAAATACAACTTTTATTGTGCTTGGTTACAGTCATTCTGATATGCTTTGAAGTACGAAAATGTATAATAAAAAATACAAAATAATCTATTTAGTGATATTCATTTAATACGCTCAACAACTAATGATTCTGCACAGAAAAATAACATTCTTGTGACTATCTGATGAACTCAATCACATAATTTCTTAAGTGAGTAGTCGATGAACTGGTTTTGTTTTGAAAAATAGTATATTATTCTTTATAGCTTTCAAATGTATTTACATAAAGAGAAATATTTTTTATTCATGTTTTTAAAACTAACTGAAGTATAGATAATTTTTCAGTATTTTGAAAAACAGTCTCATCTCAGAGACATTCTAGGGAATGATCCCCTCATAAAACAGAAAATGTACCATGCTTGCAGCATGCTCAAAAGTCAGTGCATCTAGTCACTCATACAAAAGTACTAGAATCAAAGAGCTCTTCTGTATAAGCTATTCTTGCCTTCAGGAAAGGATGTGAAAAAGAACCATTCATAAGAAAGGCATGTCACCACTTTATACATCACTAGCAGCTTCTCAGCAGGCTGAAGGAGGCTGTTTTCATACACTGCTGTGCATGAAAACAATAAAATCACCTCTATAGCACAATAATTTAGCCTCTGCTCAAAAGTTCTGTTCTTTGAGCAGGCTGTTTCCACTCGTTTTAAGCAGGCTACAGAGATCACAATAAGAAAAATACAGTGGAACGAATTTACGAATTTCCTTTCATATTCTGCTGTTGAAATAAGAATAAACAGACAAAGAATGGAAAGGTAAAGAGTTGTTTGGATGCTGCAAAAAGGAAGAAGAAAAGCTACTGCAAGAGAGGAGAGGCAGCAAGAGATGGACCTCCGCCTTCTCTATGGTGTGTAAGAGCTGCCAATAACTGCTAAAAAAGGGCTCCACCAAGCTGGAGCTGCCTGAATGAATAATACAAAGTGCTGCAGCAAAAAAATATGAATAAATAAATAAATACCTTCTATCCTTCTAAACAGAAAGCTTAACACACTGCCACAAGGCTGCTAATACTGAAATAAAGGCAAAAATAAAGTATAGTCCTCCTTTTCCCAAACACAGTAATTGAGCAGTGAGTTTGCCTGACTCCAGATTAAAACTACAACCAGCTTCTAAAGCAAAGTTGAGTGTCAGTGGGAGCCTGAGAGCTCGGGGGCAGAAGCCTCTCTTTCAGTCCTGCCTTCCTAGTTGAGTCCCGCCATTTTTAAACTATGCAGTGCAATATGATGTACTACAAGGTAGCACATTATTTTATAAAGAGGGGATGCCTCCAGGTTGTAACAGATATATTCAAGGCTATAACCAGAAACACCAATTTACAGAGAGCTACTAATACTACTTGTTCTAAGCAGAAAGTCTCTACTCACCATATGTAAAAGTTCTCCTAAAAGGATAGTTGCTCTAACAGATACATGGTCATCGCTACTGGTAATCACTTCAACCAGGCCCTTTAAAAAAAAAGGTTCAGAAAATGACAGAATTTAATGTACATCCTCTTATTTTGATTCTTATGGGAAAAATAAGAAGTTATGCTTAAGGTCATTAATTACCTCTAGAAGTCCATTGGTAATAAAAGCTGAAAGCACTAAAGCCAAATAATTATCCATGAGATCAGGCCTAAGGAGAAAAAGTATGGAAACAATTTAGAAAGTACATTGTGTTTATTTTATCTGCAAGGTTAAAACAATTATTTTATCAACACCAACAAACAAACAAACAAAACCCAACAGTTTAGATGCTGTTCATGAAATACCCACCTTGACCTGGCTCGATGGGGTAAT